TCTCAAGAATTTATCATTTTTCAGATTTTCCTATTTATCAGACACTTCATGTTTACATGTTTCAAGGCAGCATCTCTTAAGAGATGATACTGAAATAGTTTATATACATGGACCAGGATAATTTTTACTACTTTTTAAAATCCTCTGATTAGGTTCTAGAATTAGACATAATGCGTATTTAACTTTTGGGTTGCATTAGGCACATGTTAAATGCAAGAAGAAGTTATCTAGGTATGATTTTACAAAAGTAAGAAAACATGCTCACATGGATACATGCAATTGTGCCAGTATTGTTGAAAAATTAAAACCATGAAACCTATGAATTTCTTCAACTGTTATTTCAAATAGATTCTTCTTCTTACTGTACTTTTTCTGAATTAAAAAAATCTTGATATGATAAGCTCTAAATAATCATAATTCATAATGGCATCTACCTCCACCCTACACAAGAAGAATGTTATGCCAAGTTAATAATTTTGAAAACCGAATGAGTTTTGATCATGGTTTATGATTACATCCATTGTGCTACCACAGCAATAAAGTAAAGAGTAATATACCCTATATCAGTGATCCCCAACCTTTTTGACGCCGCGGCCCGGTACCGGCATCAGCTGGGCGCCGCGGCCCGGCACTGGCATCAACTGGGCGCCGCCATCTTTTTTTGACGAAAAAGTGCTTCCGGTGACCTCACCGGAAGCACTTTTTTGTCAAAAAAGATGGCGGTGCCAGCGCTTCCAGTGAGCTTTTTCGGGTAGAAATGGCTTTCTACCCGGAAAAGCTCACCGGAAGCGCTGGCGCCGCCATCTTTTTTTGATGAAAAAGTGCTTCCGGTGAGCTTTCTACCCGGAAAAGCTCACCGGAAGCACTTTTTTACCAAAAAAAGATGGCGGCGCCCAGCAACCAGCGGCCCGGTAAGACCGGTACCGGTCCACGGACCGGCAGTTGGGGACCCCTGCCCTATATAATATACCCTATGATATACCCTATATCACCAGGCTTGAGATTTTGGGCTTGGATAACCTTGAACTATGCTGCCTATGGTTGGACTTAAGCGTAGCACACAAAATTATCTGCTACAATGTCCTACCAGTCAATGACTACTTCAGCTTCAACCACAACAATACAAGAACACACAATAGATACAAACTCAATGTAAACCACTCTAAACTTGATTGCAAAAAGTATGACTTCAGCAACAGAGTGGTCAATGCCTGGAATGCACTACCTGACTCTGTTGTTACATCCTCTACTCCTTTAACCTCAAACTAACCACTATTGACCTCACCCCATTCCTAAGAGGTCTGTAAGGGGCGTGCATAAGTGCACAATAATGCCTACCGTCCCTGTCCTATTGTCCCCATTTATTCGTACCTATTTCCTGTATTCCTACTCATGTTTATACTTATACCCATTATCTTGTAAGCGATTGACAAATCAAATAAATAAATAAAAAAGAGTTATGATAGATCATGACCCTTTTCATACATCCAATATACTGCCCATCTATAAAATGGAACATGTTTAACTTTTCTGCAAATTGTACATAAATGGATCTTTTCCACAGGTTTAATATACTTTGTTTCACACATTTCAAGTTCAGAGGTGGTATTCAGCAGGTTCTGACCAGTTCTGGAGAACTGGTAGTGGAAATTTTAATGTAGTTCAGAGAACCGGCAAAAACCACCTCTGACTGGAGATTTTACAGTCTCCTTCCCCTGCCACGCCCACCAAGCCACGCCCACAGAACCGGTAGTAAAAAAAAAAAAAGAATCCCACCACTGCTCAATTTGATAAACAAAGATCAGCTTTATATACCTGTATTGGTTTTTCTTATATTCACTGCTTTGTCCATACCTGCAGAGATTGATTTTCCATATAAATTAAACATATTTTAAAGGATTGCCATTAAATTATCTCTGTTAATGTTTCAGTGTTTGCTCCTCCTTGCTTGTTTGCAGTGGATATTATTGGTTGCGACAGCTGGTCTTCTTTGGAGTAACCAGACTGGCTGGTTATGCAGGGAGCTGTTCTGCTTAAGCCCCATGGTCCACACTGGATTCGTTGCTCTACAGAAATTGCACAAGCAATTTGTAGAAAACATCAGCATCCAGTAACACAATCTTGGAGATGCCTCCAGTGAGATTGTCAAAGAACCACATAGACAGTAGAAGCTAGTATGAGTTATGTGGTACAAGCAGGGTGACTGCTTCCATCACCAATTGAATAATTTCCCCCCCTCCCAAAATCCACAAGGAAGCTCCACAGAGCCCAACAGTTGGCTTGACTCAGTGAAGCCTGCCACAAATAAGCAAGAAGGAATAGTAAATAAAGACAGATTGTAACAGATAACCTCCATAGAAGGAAGGAGGGGCTTGAGGGAGGGGCTGGGAGTGGGACAACCACAGGCCCCAGAATCTAATCCATCCTCATTCCCAAGTCTCACCGGCTCAATTATTTGTGGTTTTGTTATCCCTAGGTTTATGTTGGAATACAAATATGTAAAATTGTCCACTAAAAGGTCAAAATGATAGGTCTGTTAAGAATTTCGGGACAGAGTGGCAACTGAAGTTTTTCTGAAAGAGATCAGAAACTCTCTGGATTTTTGAAAGCTTTCATTAAGCCAATTTTTAAATTATATTTCCATGAAAGCGTAATCTAGAACAATGTTCTTGTTTTTAAAGAAAACATTTTCAGAAAATAACACACATGTAAAACTTATCTCCAGGTGTTATGTTACTTCATGCTAAAATTTAATTACTTTAAACAGATTTGAGTGTATTTTTAATAGAAAGAAAGGATGGACATATTCTTCTAAATTACCTTGGCAGTAAATATGCATATTCATTGCCACTGAAGCCACAATATATATATATGAATTAATGGGCTTAACAGTGTGAGATTCAATCGCAGATCATGAAACAAATATAAATATAAAACAACAGAGAGTGGGAGAGAAATTTCTCCGCTGCTATATTTAACAAAATAACAATGAAATGCCATCAAAAACCAGTGAGATGAACCAAATTCTATTTTAAGCAAAATAGAAAAGATACAGGGAATGTATAGTTTAGATTCCTGGGGGGATATGAAAAGTTTATTCCCCACTTGTCTCAACTAACATGCAAAATTAAATGGCTAAATCAGTATCTATTTGTTTAAGATTAATACATTCACATGCTCTCTTTGTACCTGCCTTTTCTTCCTGATTTCATACTCCCTATAATAGAAAAGCTATCATGCCTTCCTTATGAAGCCTAAACCATAAATCCATGATTGAACAGTTTCCTAGAAATCAGGATAGCATGACTAAATTTTCTGTGGAAGGAAAGGAACGAATAGGAGACATAACACTGGAATGCAATTGGAGAAGAGTATTTCAAATGAATAAACTGAGATTGTTTTTCTTTTGATTGTGATTTTAAAGTAGATGCGACTTATCTACAATTATACCCTAAAAGGTTATATATGCTTGCGCTTCATTGAAGTCATAATTTGTTCAACCAACAATGAATTTGTATGTTGAATGTGCTAGACCTCAGGGTTTAGTGACTCTGCTCTAGAGAACAGACTTCCAGATATGGCTGGCATACAGTGGATTTTTATTTTTTACCTTTGGATGTTATTAATGTCAAGGTAGACCCTATCCATTTATCCTGTTTTCTGACAGGTAGGAATGGTTCAACCCATAAGGAGTGTTTTCACTCCTCCCCCACTACTCCTGTAGCAACAGGATTCTCATGGGTTACAATAAAAAGCAATAACACAATAAAATCCATGGTAGAAGATAAAAGGTCCTAAAACTAACCAATATAAAATTCAAAATACGGAATATAAAAACAAGCTACAATAGATCAGCATCTTCTCAGAGGCTCTCCAGAACAAGCTTGGGCTTTCCAGAATGCCAATGATGTGGGGATTAAACAGATGTGAACTGAAGGGGTGTTTGGTTGATCATAGCACAGATAAAGGTTTAAAGGTTTCCCCTATCCAGTCATGACCGACTCAAGGGAGCGGGGTTCATCTCCGATTCTCAGCCAGGGTAGCTGTGTTGTCTGAGGGACACTTCTGTCCAAATTTGGCCATAATGAAAGTGCATGACGGTGTGGTATGCTGGCTTGACAGCTGTGGATAGAAAGACACTACAGAGGGTGGTGAGCACAGCACAAAACATCGTGGGCTGTTCCCTGATACCACTAGATGACATCGCTAGGGCTCGATGCCTTAGAAGAGTGAGGAAAATCCTCAGGGACGACTTGCATCCTGGTCAGCACTTCTTCACTCTCCTACCATCGCGTAGGAGATATAGAAGCATAGCCAGCCGCCCCAACAGGCTGAGGAACAGTTTCTACCTGTTGGCTGTCAGACTACTGAATGGAAAATAACTTCATGTCAACATAGTATGATAGACTTGCGGGGCCAGCACGTTGTGCAATGAGTTCACATGCTGTAATAAGATTGTGTGTTTGTTAGTAGGAATCACTGGGTTAGGGACTTTCTGTCTTCACTGTGAGTTGTGTTTTGGGGGGGGTGTGCACGAAGGGAGGCTCAGCCTTGTACACATGTTGCCCTCTGACAATAAAGGTTGATTGATTAACACAGTAACCTTCCCATCAAAGCAGCACCTATTTATTTACTCGCAGATAAATTAATACCTCTGTGTAAAATAATAGTGGGGTGCTTCAGCCCATTCACCCTGCAATATGGGGACTATATGGAGTTTCTCGCGGGTTAAATGAATTGAATCAATTCTGGCTGCAGAGGTAGCTCGGCACCATCAAGCCGTCTGTGGCTTTGCAGGTTTGAAACGGACATTTTGAACTGTACCCAGAAGCAAACGAGAAGTCCTTGGAGGATCTTGGTGAAATATGCTCATGGAAGTGACAGCCAATCAGAAACTGGACCCTTGCAAATGCAGTGCAAATGCCTCCATCAAAAACAAGGGAGGCCCATCATACACAAAACATGTCTCCTTCTTAATCAAATAAGGGATAAACGCTTACCTTGAAAGTTGCTTTTCGGCATCTGCACAGAGTTCCAAAAGGCCCATCAGCACAGCGGACACATCCATATAAGGCTCCCACACTGTAAACCCTCTTCCTATGAGATCAATGGCGGTTCTTCGAATGGTGCTGTGAGGAGGAAGCTTCGGACTGGGAGGTTGCAGCAGAAGATAGGTCAAAGCTTTGCCTGCCACACAAGACAGGTTAGAAAGCCAGAGTTAGGAAAATAAGATCCAAATGTGGGATATTCTGATTTGGACAGATTGGAAGCTTATGGGGGTTACTGGTTAAGAGTTCCTCCATTCAGTTTGCAAACTTAGTCCAAGAGTAAAAATGGAGCTCAGCTAAGGGTGTTTGTATCATCTATATATGTGTTCATGTGTGTCTGTATATACGTATGTAAAAAATAATGGAAAACAATTCCTTCTTATGCCCCATGGGTCATGTGTTACAATAATCTATATCAGGGGTGTCAATAGAGGGCCGCATCAGAGTTGTGTTTGACTGTGGGAGCTGTGGTGGGCTGGCCAGGGTGGGTGTGGCCATCTTGACGTCACTTGTGTTGGCGGCACCCTGGGGGGCCCCAACAAAAAAGGGGCTCGGGTGGGCCCCATGGGCCCCCCCCCCCCCAGGCCCTGTTTTCAGCTGCAACAGCCTCCTGCAGCCCTCTGCCAGTGAAAATAGAACTCCGTTTTTGCTGGCAGAGGTACCGTGGGCCAATCCTTTGCTGTTTCCAAGGTGGCCTCATGGGCCAGATCTAAGCACCCCGCGGGCCGGATGTGGCCCCTGGGCCTTGAGTTTGACACCCCTGAGCTATATGTACAGTCATTTGCATTGTGAGAGATGGTGATGTTATCCATATATCCATATGGTCATGTCCTATTCTTCATGATTCAGGAGATGGCCAGGTCTCTCCACATTTTCCGATTTGTTGATTTTTCTGTGCTCTGGCTGGTGTCAGCTTTGATGGTGTCCAGCCATCGTGTTCTTTCGTGGCCTGTTTTCCTCTTACCGCTAACTCTTTCAAACATAACTGTGAGAGATAAGGGATTCTAACTCATAGAATATTAAGGCCTGTATAAAATTCAGCTCTACCTTTCTCCAACCCAGCACCCTTACAATGTGTAGAATTAAAAATTACATAATCCATGATTTTAGGGTTGGAATTTAAGGTATCTCTCAAACGAATTGGGGGGAGGGGAGCTTAATTAGTCTTCATTTAAGAAGTAGGAGATTGAGAGATTGAGATAAAATGGCAAGCAGAAGGCTAAAGCCGAGATTTATTTTAACCTGACTTTTACTTGCTGTATGAAAATTGCTGGGAGTCAGAAAGTTTTGCTTACCTACTGAAAATAACTCAAACATATACCAACAAATCTGACCACTTCTGATTTAAAAATTCTTTTCGTATGATTGGAAAATCTTTAGAGCAAATAATTAATAAAAATCTCAGCAGAATGTAAACAAGGGTGCCCTTATAGACACAGCTGTTCAATTTTTTGTTAAAAGAATTAAATAAGGTAGGCCACAACCAATCCATTATCCATCTCTAAACTCAATTTCTTTCTCTGCTAATTTATCAAAAAATAGTTCACTTGTGGAAGGCAAAATTGGAATCTTTTGGATTAGTGGGAAGACTTATTTTACTTTTTTCTTTTCTTTTACTGCTTTATGATGTTTGATTTTAGGTCATTGTTGTGAATTGCCTAGAGTTGTAGTTTTAAATAAATAGATAAATAAATAAAAATTCAAAATTTAATAGTGTGTGACTTGCCTAGATATTAATGGCTCTTATATAAATGTGGGGAGTTACAAACTGGTAGAGAATGGTCCCTAACCAAACCGTCCTGCCTCCCCATTCTTTTTCCATACAAAGTTGTGGCAATTGTGGCAAGGGACCAATTGTATCCCACGGATATCTTCCTGTATCTGAAATACTTCAGAAAATTAAGCAACTTCTACATAAAAACTAGAGTAGAGTTTTTATTTTCAAGAACTCAAATTAACTATTATTAGATAACCACCCCAGTTACTACTTATCAATAGGGTGTAACTAGAAAACGTACATTAAAACTCCTGATCCTAATAACTATTCCACATAGCAATAGCACTTAGACTAATATACCTCTTCACAGTGCTTTTACAGCCCTCTCTAAGCAAGTTTACAGAGTCAATGTATTGCCCCCAACAATCTGGGTCCTCATTTTATCCACCTTGGAAGGATGGAAGGCTGAGTCAACCTTGAGCCTGGTGAGATTCGAACTGCCAAATTGCAGTCAGCCTGCAATACTGCATTTTAACCACTGCACCACCTCAGCTCATAGTTTAAACTTCCCAGCAAAAAGGATCCCAAACTGATTTACAAAAGATCAACACATCACTCGGATAAGGAAGGGGAAAAAAAGTACAAGTGGGTTGCAAAGTTCTAATATTGTTCTTTTGGAACAAAAGGTATTACAGTCTTGCAAGGGAATAAATAGTTCAGAAAAACAAGAAGCTGTGTTTTTTTTTTCTCCAACCAAACAGATGGAGTGTCACTGTGTTCCCCACTTGGCTATGCTTTAGCCTGCTGGGATGGTGGTGGCTGCTGCTGTTGAATAATAAAACTGATTTCACAGACATCAGTTGAAGTTCACCCGGCTTAAAGTTGCTGAGATTGATTGACTATCATTATACAGGTGGTCCTCGAATTACAAACACAATTGGAACCATAATTTCTATTAATAACCAAGGCGGTTATTAAATCAGTTGAGCCTGACTTTACAAGCTGCTTCACTGCCATGGTTGTTAAGTGAATCACTGCAGTTGTTAAGTGAATCACGCAGTTGTTAAGCAAATCCAGCTTCCCCTATTGTTCTGACCCATGCCCTTTTCCAACAAATCAAACACAATCCAAAGGGAACAGAAATCTTTTAGTGCTTCTGCAAAATAATTAGCTGTGATAAGCACAAGCCTTTCCAAACTGGGCGAGACTGCCAAAAGATAACAGACAAGAAATAATTTGCAATACAAGAATCTTCAAATACAAACTCAGGATACTGGAATGTCCACGAGGCTGGAGTTTCAAAACGTCTTTGCCTTCTGCAAAGAACGTTCATTTCACAGCTGGCTTTTATCTGCTTGAAAGAGGGGCCATTACCTTGCAATCTTACTCCCGAGTTGCCCGTGCTGTTGTAACTGCTCTTTCCTACGAGCAGCCCTGCGCGCACGCGCACTTGGCACAGGTTCCTTGGGAACCTCCTCATCGCTGCTGCCAGCCCACACAATCTCTGAAGGCAGCAGTCCACTCCCTAATGGTCCTGGCCCCTCATCTGAGTCCTCACACTCCTCAGCCACCCACACCTGATGCCGGCTAACCACAACACCTATTGACTCGGCTTGTCAGAAGCTGGCTTGAAAGGTTGCAAATGGTGACTACATCCTAGGGTGCTGCAACATGCCGTTGCCAAGAGCCCAGATTTTGAGCATGGGAGAGGCTGCAACAGTTGTAACTGCAAGGACAAATCAATAAATCATTTTTTCCCGGTATTGTTGTAGTGGTCGCTAATCAAATGGTTCTAAGTCAAAGACTACCTGTATTATGAGGAACAGCAGGGTGAGAAAAATACAGTACAAGTCATCCTCGAGTTATGACCACAATTGAGCCCAACATTTCTGTTGTTAGGTGAGACATTTGTTAAGTGAATTTTGCTCCCATTTTGTTGCTGTCTGCCAGAGGCCTGTGGACTGGCAGCAGAGTCGGACAGTGGGGAGGAACATGGGCCAGTCCTGGAGTCTGGGGAGGGCTCAGACAAGGGATCTGCATCCGGCACAGAGAGAGGGCCAGGGCTGATTCCGGAGCCTTCAGAATCTGACATCAGCGAATCAGAGGAACAGGGGGAGCTTGTTCCCAGTGCGCGCTTGCGCAGAGCTGTCAGAAGGCAAGAACAGTTAAGACAAAAGGGGCGACTTGGGAGTAAGGCTTGGAGATGGTTGGCCCCTCCCATAAGACATAAAGGAGGAGCAAAGGGACATGAGCCTTTGCAGGAAGCAACTTTGTTTGTTCTGATCCGTTTAAACTCTGAAGCTCCGTGTTGACTTTGTGCTCCGTTTGGCCTTGTACAGCTAATTGGCAATTTAGTCACTGGCAGCATTTCAAGGGAGATAAAGGTGGGTGCTTATCAGCCTTATCCCAAAAAGACTGTGGCAGACTTCTGTTGCACTATTCATAAACTGTTTGAGACTCATTAGGGGCTGTGGATGAATATAATTCACAGCCGATGAAATAAAGAGAGGATTTTTGTGTGTGATTGTTACTGTCTCAGGAAGCCTTGGTCAGAACACATTTTAGGACCTTTCTTGCCTGTGTGGTTAAGTGAATCACTGCGGTTGATAAGTTAGTAACCCAGTTGTTACGTGAATCCGGCTTCCCCATTGACCTTGCCTGCCAGAAGGTCGCAAAAGGGGATCATGTGACCCCGGGACACAGCAACGGTCATACATATGGAACAGTTGCCAAGCGTCTGAATTTTGATCCCATGATCACAAGGATGCTGGAAAGGTCATAAGTGTGAAAAAATAAGTCACTTTTTTTCAGTGTGGTTGTTACCTTTGAACTGTCACTAAGTGAACTGTTGTAAGTTAAGGACTACCTGTATTTGTTCTTTGACACACACACACACACAAAAAAGAAAACATATCTATTGTCTGTTTTGAAGCAGCAATATATCAAAAACTAACTGACCCAGATTGCAGCTTGCAATATAAAAAGCATGCCAATTATGAACATGGGAGGTTTTTAAAAAGTCTTTTCTTTGCTTAGTCATGCTGCTTATTCTACCACTGACTGGTAATCTATAATTAATATATATTAAACATTTAGGAGAACATTCTTGTACACCATATATTTTTGGACCTCTTTTTAGAAGCAGGATACAAGAACACCTTTAAGAGCATATGATGGTGTGAATCTTCTTCGCGGCACTGTTTAAATGGTTTTTTTTTTCCTGGCCTCTAATTGCCCTTAAAGTGCCTGAGGCTTTGAGCATATTATCTAAGATGGAATTACATAGAAGCATTAGTATAAAAATTAGTGTCATTTTGAGTTTCTAAAACTGTTAAAATGGTGAAATATAAGTCATTGGCATCCTTCCTCCCCCCACCTCCCTATGCTAATGTTTGGTTTAAACAAACAAGACAAACAAATTG